CTGGAGTGAAGTATTTCAAGCCCTAAAAGAAAATAATTTCCGACCTAGACTGTTGTATCCTGCAAAATTATCTTTCAAAATTGATGGGGAAATTAGATACTTCCATGAAAAAGAACACCTGAGAAATTTCATGAACATGAAACCATCACTACAAGCAATTCTAAACAATATCCTAGAAAAAACAATGAAGGTCACAAATTCCATGAGGACCAACAGAGAGAAGCCACTAGGAAAGGTAAGACACTAAAGGGAAAGGGGGAAAAATAACAAATAAAAGAGACAACAAAAGTAAAACATCATGAAAAGGATGAATCAATATCTATCAATTATAACCATCAATGTTAATGGCCTCAATTCACCAATCAAAAGAAATGGACTGGCAGAATGGATTAAGAAGCAAAATCCAGCAATATGCTGTATACAAGAAACACACCTAACTCAAAAAGAAACTTAGACTGAAAGTAAAAGGATGAAAAACAGTTCTCCATGCCACAGGAGCCCAGAAAAAAACAGGGGTAGCAATCTTATTTGCAGACAAAGTAAATTTCAAACCAAAACTAATTAAGAGAGACAAAGATGGTCACTACATCCTTGCCAAGGGAACAATCCAAGAGGAAGAGATGACAATCCTAAATATATATGCACCAAATACAAAGGCCAGCAACTATTCAAAACAAATATTCAGGGACATGAAAAACCAAATAAACACTAAGACAATTGTAGTGGGGGAGCTCAATATCCCACTATAACAAATAGACAGATCATCTAGACAAAAAGTTAACAAGGAAATTCTAGAACTGAACCAAGTTATTGAACAACTGGACTAAACAGATGTTTACAGAGTGTTCCACCCCACAAAAAGGGACTACACATTCTTTTTGGCTGCACATGGTCATTCTCCACATGCTAGCTCACAGGACATGTCTAAGTAAATGTAAAAGAACTGAAGTTACCCCCTGTATATTATCAGACCATAGTGCAATAAAATTGGAGTTCAACAACATAAGAAACCACAAAACCCCCACAAACACATGGAAACTGAATAATACCCTCCTGAACAACCAATGAGTCACAGAAGAAATTAAACAGTTCCTACAAGTAAATGACAATGCCAGTACAACATACAGGAATCTCTGGGACACAATGAAAGCAGTTCTACATGCAAAATTCATAGCAGTGAATGCCCATATTAGGAAAACAGAGAAAACTCAAATAAATAACCTAAGGCAGAACCCCAAGCTGCTAGAAAAAGAAGAGCATCAAAAATCCAAAGCTCATACAAGAAAGGAAATCATAAAGATTACAGCAGAAAAGAATGCAACAGAGACTAAGACAACAATACAATCAATGAATCAAAGAGTTGGTTTTTTGAAAGAATAAATAAAATTGATAAACCATTGGCCAACTTATCAAAAAAAGGAAAGAAAACACACAAATATATGCAATTAAGAATGCAAAAGGTGAAGTCATAACAGATCCAACAGAAATCCAGAGGATCATCAATACCCACTTCGAGAACCTGTACTCTAATAAAATGGAAAACACAGAAGAAACGGACAGATTCCTAGATACAAACAAATTGCAAAAGTTAAATGAAGAAGATATAGAAATTCTAAACACTTCAATTACATGAGTGAAATTGAAAATGTAATAGAAAATTTACTGACAAAGAAAAGCCCAGGTCCTGATAGCTTCACTGCTGAATTCTACAAGATATTTAGAGAATATCTATTGCCGTTACTCTTTAATCTCATCAAGGAAAGTGAAAGGGAAGCAAGGCTTCCGAATTCCTTCCTAGAAGCAAGTGTTACTTTGATTCCAAAACCAGGGAAAGACCCAACCCAAAAACAGAACTACAGGCCAATCTCCCTAATGAACATAGATGCGAAAATCCTCAACAATATACTGGCAAACAGAATACAGAGGGTCATCAACATGATCATACACCCTTACCAAGTCGGATTTATCCCAGGGATGCAAGGATGGTTCAACATTCTTAAATCAATAAATGTATTACACTATATTAACAGAGTCAAGGACAAAATCCATATGATCATCTCAATAGATGCAGAAAAGCCATTCGACAAAATCCAGCACTCATTCATGATAAAAATTCTACAGAAAATTGGAATAGAAGGTCTTTATCTCAACAGGATTAAGGCTATCTATGAAAAACCTACGGCCAACATCATACTAAATGGTCAAAAACTGAAAACTTTCATGCTAAAATCAGGAACAAGACAAGGATGCCCACTGTCACCACTCCTGTTCAATATCATTCTGGAAACATTAGCCATAGCAATTAGAAAAGAGACAGAAATAAAAGGAATAAAGATCAGAAAGGAAGAAGTTAAACTGTCATTATTTGCTTAAGATATGATACTTTACATAGAAAACCCACAAAACTCCACCAGAAGACTTCTAGACTTAATGGACAGATTCAATAGAGTAGCTGGATAGAAGGTCAACACTGAAAAAACAATAGCCGTCTTGTATACAAATAACAGACTCACAGAAATTAAGGAAAAATCCCTTTCACAATAGCATCAAAAAAAAAAAATGAAACATCTAGGAATCAGTCTAACAAAGGAAGCAAAAGACCTCTACACTGAAAACTACACCACTCTGAAAAAAGAGATAGAAGAGGATACAAGAAAATGGAAAGTCATCCCTTGCTCCTGGGTAGGCAAAATCAATATAGTGAAAATGGCCATACTTCCAAAACTACTATATAGATTCAATGCAATGCCAATTGAAATTCCAATATACTTCACAGATCTAGAGAAAACAATCCCAAAATTCATTTGGAACCATAAGAGACATAGAATAGCAAAAGCAATTCTAAGGAACAGAGACATGGCTGAGGGTATCACAATCCCCAACTTGAAACTATACTACAAAGCTACTGTGATAAAAACAGCATGGTACTGGCAATAGAACAGACTTGAAGATCAGTGGAATAGATTAGAAGATGCAGAAGCAACTCCAGACATACTCAGTCACCTCATCTTCGACAAAGGTGCCAATCACCATCATTGGAGGTAACATAGCCTATTCAATAAATGGTGTTGGAAAAACTGGATTTCAACCTGCCAAAGATTAAAAATAGACTCATACCTATCACCAAGCACTAAACTAAGATTGAAGTGGATTAAAGATCTAAATATTAAAACAGAAACACTACACTTGTTGGAAGATATGTTAGGTAGAACTCTTGAACACATTGGCATAGGAAAAGACTTTATGAACAAAATCTCAGTAGCACAGGAAATAGCACAAAGAATCAACAACTGGGATCCCATCTTATTAAAAAGCTTTCTGCACTTCAAAAGAAACCACCAACAGAGCTAACAGACAACCTACAACGTGGGAAAAAATTTTAGCAGCTGTACCTCAGACAAAGAACTACTATCTAGAATATATAAACAACTTAAAAAATCAGACCCCCCCA